GGACCGCTTCAGAGGTAGCCTCTAGAAGGCCGCGAAAGCATCCCCAGGTGGCAGTCAGAACAACTGTTCAGGGACTGGGGGGAAAGGATCCCAGCCATTTTGTGGAATTGAAACTTACTAAAACAGTTTTAGTAGACAGGAGGGCCTGGTATGATGTGGTCCATGGGGTCCCGAAGAGTCGGACTCGACTGTGCGACTGAACAACAACAACAAAATCGTTTTATATGAGACCCTGAGGTCCTGGGCATGCTAATTATCACTGTATTTAGGAAGAATCTCTTTAAGAAGAAGAGATTGGATTTATACCCCGCCCTTCACTACCCAAAGGAGTCTCATAGTTAGTATTTAAAATATTTATTTTTATTCATTTAGGTTATTTGTAAAAGTTGTTGTTCTGCTAACCAATTAACACGGCTGCCCCTTTGGAACCTGTCATTAATAAACATCTGTACTTGGGGCTGGTGGGGGGGGAATAAAGTGGAACTCAGCCTGGTCCACTTCTGATGTTGCCGGTCACAACTGGTGGGCTCCAGACGGGGAAGCAGAGCTTCATTAAAAGACGTATCCGCCCCGTTCACCCCAACGCGCACACTGGGATGCTCTTGGATGACGTGCCCAGAAAGCTGCTTTGCCGCACTGGCTGGATCCAGGGGACCTTGCAGATGCGTGTCGGTTTCTGTCAGGCTTCTTACATTTGTTCCACTCTTTTTTTTCTGGTGAAAATACTAATTTGTATAGAAGGATAGCTTCACAACAAAATACACGGTTTTCTAAATTGTTCTCCTTGTTAATGTCCTAATTGGGTATATATTTTCCTGCAAGAAAACTGATAATTGGGTAGAAAAGAAACTGGAACAATTTTGCCAGGGCAGCAGTCTGAAAAAAAAGCAGATTGAAATAGTTTGCTATTCCTGACTTTCAGGTACAGTTGTTTTTGCCTGCATTTCTGTGCTATTGGCATCAATGACACTTGCTGCCCTATACGCGTCTTTGGATTGGGATGGCACTTTAACGAGTTTTATGCAGCCTATTAAGCAAAGCAGCACTTTGCAGCAAAGCACAATGTTGAATTTTAATTATTGGTCTGTTTTAGGGACGTTGGTATCCAGTGCATAAAACCATAAATGCAGTCAGTTCACAAAATGGATCATTATGAATTAATGGTCTTGGCACTAATTTGTAGCCAACAGATAACTGTCTCCTGAAAACCAGAAGTCTCCTTTACCTTTTAAGAAGACATGCATGCATATTAATTTTTTTAAGGGGGGGATCCCGCCACACATAAACACGAGGATTTAGTCCTCCAAATTTAATGGATAAACTGCTTTTTTGTTCTCTAAAATAAAATACAGGAGAAAGAGTCCTGCCTTTCCCCTGTAACGTATTCCAAAGAACACCTTTGTTTGCTGCTCCTAATGGAAGGGCTCCTACCCCTGGCCTCTAGTTTCCCTTTAGCTCCAACCCAAGGCGCCTTCGCCCGAAGGAAGAGAAGTCGAAGGCCGGCTCGTTAGGCTGGGGGAGAGGGCCCTCCTCGACACCTCCCTGGGAGGGAGCCTCGCTTTGAACGGAGAAGGTTGTCGCACTGAAACGGGAAGCTCGCCAGCGGGCGACCTGGCTGGGAGGATCCACATGATTCGGCCACCAGAAGCTCCAGGCCCAGGGCCGGATTTAGACTTGCTGAGGCCCTAAGCTATACAAAACCCAGAGGCCCCCTACTGTTTTAAATCACATCAGCTGGTCTCAGAAAAATTTAAAATATATACGCCTTTTTAATATTTGAAATCATTTTTTATATTGTGTTTTTATTCGAGGCCCCAGCAGATTGCGAGGTCCTAAGCTGTAGCTTATTTAGCTTATGTGTAAATCCGGCACTGTCCAGGCCTGACGAGATTTTTCCCGTGGCGGTGGTCTACCTGGGGGAGGAGCCCTGGCGACGTCAGCCAGGCAGAGCCACACCCCCCCCTGTATAGGGGGCAGTGGCAGAGCCCGGCCCGGGAGCAGCCACAGTTCCCTGCCCCCACGAGCCCTTCTCCTGTAGCGCAGCAGGGCGGGGGTCTCGCAAGGGAGGCGGCGGGGAGAGGACTGGAGGCAGCCTGTTGTCCCCAGGCCGGCGGCTGGGCGTTTGGCTCCGCGTAGCAGCGGGGGAGCGAGCCGCGCCGTCGGCCTGCCGCGTCCCTGGGCCCCGCTGGCCCCGGCCCCAGACGGCTCGAAGGCAGGGGCTGGCGCCTTCCGCTCCTGGCAAGGGGCTCTGGTGGGACTGGGAGGCGGGGCGCCCCGGCGTTTGCGCTTGACAGTTCCGAGGAGGGGCCCGCCCTGCTGCGCTTCCCGCTCGGCCCACGCAGGTTGCCCCGCCAGGGGGGGTCCGTGGGAGGGAGGGACTCCCCAGCAGGCAAGCGCCGGAGCGCAGCCTCGCCTCCCCCCCCCCAGCAGTTCCCCCCACTTCCCAGGCCGGCGGGGACCTACAGAACCACGAAACTCGACGGGAGGTGGATTTTGACGCGGGAATCGATGCTCAGAGACTCGACGGGTCCTTTGCGGTGACCTCTTGGGTGAAAGTGAAAGGAAATGGTGGCCAGTGTGGTGGGGAGAGCGATCCTACGCAGCGCCATCGCCCTTCTACGGGGAGTCACACCCTTCTCAAGCTTCTGCTTCGGGGGGCTCTCTCTGGTCGCTTCTGTCCGCCTGGGTGGACTTGGAGTGAGCGGAGCTCGGTCGTAAAGCGCGGCTGTGACTCCAAGTGGACACGTCTGTCATTCATTGGACTTTGCTATCAGACCGTTGAATTATTTGGCAATAACGCTGCAAGGCCGGCTCCAGTTGACTCATAGTGCTGTTCTTGCTCACGAGGAAGTCCCAGCGACTTCCATGGGGTTCCAAGCCTTGAGCCAACCTTCCCCCTTAGAGAGCGTGGAGTCTTGTTTGGTCTTGCTGGAAGGGGCCAAGCTGGAGAACTTCTCTGCGCGTTTGGGTACCTTATTAAACAGTCCGATTGACTTTGGCTCACGGCTGCAACCTTTTGCACCTCCAGTTCAAAAGGCCTTCTTTGGGGAAATCAGACCCATCGGTTGCAGCCGCCCGTGCTTAAGTACACCGGTCCGGAAATGTCCCACTGAGATCAATCCAGCAGGAGGAATGCAGAGTTGGCCCCAAATTTGCAACCCTACGTTCCCGTGGGATTCAGGATAACCCCGAAACAGACACCCACCTCTCAGGCGTCCTTACTCGAATATAGACTCCGCGCGTTCAGTGGGACAATTCCCGATTGTCATGTGCACATTGGGACTCCTTCGGGCGCAAACGTGCAGGGCGTCGGAACTGATCTCATTACAGTCATCTGCCGAGAAAAATCTGAGCGCTGCAGCTTGAGGGACTGGAGTCTCCAAAGCCCGGAGAAACGTTTTGCCTTCCATAAACCGGCGCAATCTCCGCCGGCAGCCAGCTGTTCCATTAATCAGTCGTAGCGTCGCTGTCTTAACTATCTGCTTGCTGCGTATTGTTAGCTGGATTTCGAACCGAGGCGCACGTCCCTTACTTCCCGCCATAAAGACCGCGGCAGAAGTTGTTTTTAAAAACCTCGCGCCGAATTGCATCCCAGCGGTTGCCTGGCTTAATATGCCCGCCCTTATTCGAAAGAAAGCCCCTTGGAGATCAGTGGGGCCCACAGCTTATATTTTGTCTGAGCGGCGCATCTAAATGAACGATCTTCGGATGGGGGTGCGGCGGGGAGAAGGAAGAGGGGAGCGGGAAGAATCGCGCTTTTCGAAAGCAAAGGAGTGGAGGGGCTTTTTAGTAGCTTTTCTTCATCGGGCAGAAACCGGGTTTATACAGCGGCAACAAGCGTTAATGAAAAGCGTCTCTTTCAGTAGTTCAGCAAAAGTCATGGAAAGAGGCAGAAAAACTCCCAGTCCTCTCCTCCCTTACAGCTGATACAGAGTAAATTGAAAACTATGGTGGGACAAGATAGAAAAGGTTGAGAGGGAGCCTGGGGGAGAGAGAGAGAGGAGGGGGTGCCTCTTTTTGCTTAGGACTGCTTAGGAAGAAGTTCCCCTTCTGTCAAATTGTCAAGTCGGTCTGACCTCGGCCCCCCCCCCCCCAAAAGGATGGACTATCTTCACGTGCTCAGCATCTTGTCCCTGAAAGCATGAACTTGGAATTTTGACAAACAAATGAAGTTCAGTTGAGATGATGATGATGATGATGATGATGATGATGATAAAATGTGTGGGTTTAAGCTAGGTCTTGCCTGAACAGATTTAACATCAGATTGTTGGTTCTTACATTTAAGTAGAGAAATAGGGTGTCATTTTTGAACCACAATAGAGGAAGATAATATTAAGATTGTGAAACAATTTGAGGTTTAAGTAGATTGCCCGGAATGGGGAACAGAAGTCAATCATATTCCAGGAAACCGGTTGGGGACCTCTTGAACTGAAACCGATTCAGTGGTTTTAGGAGCTAATAATCCAACTAGCCACATTTACTGAGAAAGATAGCCTACTGAGTTATGAGGACTGTGCAGAGAACTGGATCCTACCCGGCAACAAATTTCATTGTGTTCAGTGGGGCTTACTTCCAATTAAATAAGGCAAAGCCTCCAGCATCTCTAACTGGGCACAGGGTGGATCTTAGCCTGCAATCCTATGCAGATTTACCTGGGAGCAGGTCCTATTGAACTCGGTGTCTCTTACTTCCGATTCCAGGTAGATAGGCTGGGGCTGCACTGTCTTGACTGGGAATAAATCCTCCTTGAAAACAGTTGTCTTGGTTTCCAAGCAGATGTTTAAGCTGCGGTGATGATCAATGGGATTTACATGCTAGCTGTGTTAGAGTAGAGGGCCTTCTGTGTGAGGCTGATCATGAGACTGGGGCTGGCCAATTTTCTTTGGGGAAGGGAAAGAACCAGGGGAGGGGGCAGAAAGACAACTCAAGAGACCTCAAAAGGAGTTGTTCCCCACTTGACTTCCACGCTAACCCGAGCCTTCTGCCCTCCTCCATTGCAGACCTCCTGGACGATCTGTCCGAGAGCCGGGAATGTGTCAATTGCGGCTCCATCCAGACCCCCTTGTGGAGACGGGATGGCACTGGAAACTATTTATGCAATGCCTGTGGACTGTATACCAAGATGAATGGCCTCAGCAGACCCCTCATCAAGCCCCAGAAGAGAGTGGTGAGTGGCTGGGGGAGGGAATATGTGGGTCTTACCTCTGCCCTGCCATCTTTATCCAAGAACCCATCCATCTTTTGCAACTATGTTTTAAAACTGTGTTGTCTAATACACGCTTTTAAGATCCCATGGAGGGTCAGTCAGTGGTTCACCGTGTTCCATTGAAATAAGGGGGAATGAATCTGGATAAATTTTATTGATTTGATTTGATTTATATCCCGCCTTCCCCCGCAAGGGGGCTCAGGGCAGTTCACAACATATAAATATAACAAAAGATTAAAACATAATACAATAAAAATTAAAATTTGGCTCTATGCACAGATCGGGAGATGGCAATAATCCAGTTTAATTACTTTCAGATGTCCTGGTTTTTGCAAGTGGACAAATTCCCACCAATTCATACATAAAAGTGCCTGTGGATAGCATGGTAAATAGAATGGGTGGGTAGGGGCTGGGCCGGTCTTATGGTGTCCACCACCTCAGCCAAACACACACAGACTGGAAGTGCATCTGAATAACTTTATTTTAGGTGGATCAGTCCATTGGGCTTACTTTCAAGTAAGTGTGCATTTAATGGCTGCATAGGAGTCTCATTGGTTTCATGTCCTCCCGTCCGCATTCGAATAAATGAAAAATGAAGGCTCTTACCTTTAGCTAGGTCATACTTTTCAGTATGTATGATTGCCAGGAAGGAGAACGTTTTTCAAAGGAAATAAGTGCATCACTTTAATTCTACTGATTGCTATGAAAAGTCTGACAGTTAACTCCTAGAAAGAGGCACTAGCATTGAGTCATGGATAATTAAGACATCTTACAAAACGTGGAGAGTAGCCAGTTGATTTGGGAAAGGAATTAAGTAGTCTCTGGGAATACTCTTAAAGTTTTGGACTTGTTTTTACTGTACAGTGGCTCTTGCCCTATAGATACAAGTCACAAAACATCTCATTATTTGTTAAATAAAACAATTATTCAATAAATTTAAAAGTGCTTATTTATCTACTTATATTCTGCACAATATAGTGCTTGAGGCAGTTTACAACATCTGTTTAAAAGAATTAATCCATAAAATATAACAAACAAGTAACTGAAAATTCAGATAAGTAACAGCCACAAAGAAGCTGCTAGAGCTTAAGCACAGAAAGCCAACAATAAGCATGAAATATCACCCTAAAAGCAATATAATAACTGTAAAGATTTTTAAAAACTATAAGAAGATTACAAAATGGAATAAAATACAGGCAGAAGGATTAAAATGGAACAAAAACAGTCAGGAAATGCAGACAAGACTGTATGAAGTGAGTAAAGGGACAAATATCTCAGTAAAAGAATTACTAGTAAAATCAGATGAAGGGACAGACTAACAAAGCACTAGGCAATACAAATCTCTGCCTGGCACTTAAAAGGTGATAAATTTTATGCCAGAATTTCTTCAGGAATATAGAGTGCCAAGGATATTTTATCATCTAATCTCTGAATGCTTCTCTTGATGAATATTTGCTCATTTTCCATGTTACACCCCAAACCACAAGCCTGGTTTTGGACCTTATTCCTATCTTTCCTGAACTCTCTTTAAAAATGACAGTATGAATTATATGTTTGAGGATAGCCAACAAAACAAAATATTCAGACTGGCACCAAGCAGACCAATGTGATGATTAAAACAGAAAGGCTGGTGCACACTTTTGGGGGAGTGAGTGATGTAATGAAGGACTCGGTGGACCATTTATGAATCATTGGAATTGGACAAATATACTAATCAATGTAGAACATGCGTTTTTGCAATATATTTAACAGGCTATGGCAATGTATATATTGGTTTTGTTATCAGTTTGTAAATGTGAAGTTTATTATAATAATAAAAAAGAACTCTTTGTATTAGGTGACACCACCACAAATCTTAAACTCATTAGTCAGGATTCAAAGAGCTGTGAAACTGGTTCTGCAAGATGGGAAGCTTTAGACCTCTCAGACAGCAGCTCCCAACGCTACATGGGGGGGAAACTATGGAAAATGATGGGTGTTTCAAAAGAAGGGGAGTCAGCCATTCAGGGAAAAAGACAGTGCATAGAAGTGCGTTTTTAATGTTCCATGGAAAGTTTCCCAAGTGGGTACATTTCCGCTGCCTGAGCCACTGTGTCACTTTGGATCCAGGCTAGTATGGTTAGGATTGGTTTGAAACTAAAAGACAGTTGAGTCTGTGATCCAAAGTACACCAATCTGGAAACAAATTGTACCCGCATCTTTGGTATCTAATGAAGTGACTTTCGACTCATGAAAGTATATGCCCTGGAAAATGTTGTTGGCTTTTGAGTTGCTACTGGACTCGAATGTTGTTCTACTTCTGCAGACTAACAAAGCTGCCCAACTGAAACAATTTGGAAACAGATGCTACTGAAACTGGTGGTTGTAAATGACTCTCATTTTGGTTTCTCATGTAACGTTGAGGGTAGGGAGAGGCCTGCCTGTAGTTTGGTACAGACAATTGTGGTTGGTTTCCAGTGAAAGGACATGACTGTGGTTATGTTGACAAACATTATTTCCAAGATCATAAGGACTATAGACATGCCCCTTTTAATGAAAATACAGTTGAGAATCTCACTATTTTCAAATGTGCCTTGAGATTTTAGGGCCGGATTTTTCAGGAATTCAAAGCATGTCAGTGTGCAGTAAGTTTAGAAACTACCAGTTCCCTAGAATGAAGCAATTCGTGAAAAATAGCTCAGACATTCCTGACTATTTCTGTTCTGGGACAATTTAAATTCATCTACCCAGGAAGCAAGTAATTGCAAGTACTGCAATTCTTTGTTCAGGGACTAAAGCAAAGAAAAAGATTAAGCAATGATTTGTAAAAAGCCACGTATACCACAGTGATGCGCTTGCACAATTACCATTTGTGTTCCCAAAGGAGAACTTCCTAAAGAAAGTGTGTCCCATATTACTTTTCAGTAGGGCCAGGATAAATTCTACTACTGTCTTTTATCATTAGCAACATGCTGTTAGAGAACGGCAGTTTAAAAATAAAATAAAATTAATGTGGACCTATGCAAAAATTCAGCAACGAGGAGGTAGGATGACCTGCGAGAAGGCAGAAAGGACTTTCTTGTCTTTTACCTCCTCCCCTTGACTGATTCTTTGCATGGATGGAGACACAAAGAATGAGGAAAAATAATTTTTGAAAAGTTTGTTCACTCCTCCAAAGGCTTACCTTTTTCTGTCCCAGAGGTGAAATTTGGGGGACTTGAGCTCAGAGAAGGCCTCTTTCACTTTTCAGCCTCATTGTCACTCAATACAGCTGTCAAGAGGACTGATTTGCAGTTCTATGTGCTGGGTTGTAAAATTAACTGGCCCATCCTTGTGTACAGCTAAATGCTCTTCATGCACTGCTCTTCAGTCTCCATAGATATTCCCACTCTGCTGGCTGAGAGATGTGTGCAAGGTAAACACATGGACAGAGTTTTATCCCCCCTCTGGAAAGACAGAGGGAAGACGTGGAATCATTTTGATGCCTGTTTTTTTTTTTTTGAAAGGGGGATTTATTTATTTAAAATGTCCCCCCCCCCCATTTTCCCCTGAAGGGTTCCAAGACAAAGACTAAAATGAATCACTCTAAAGCACCAACTTTATTCTACAATAAAAGCACACTGACTGTAATGGATCAGTACTTCTATAGGGCTTTCTCCTTTCTTAGGATCCTAGTGTCTGTATGCTGGCACTCTGCTTTGCTGTTGTATGTCTTTATAATATTCTGCATATTTATCTCTTTATGAAACCCATGGCTCACCTTTCCAATGAAAACCATTCCCAGTGAGATGTGCTTTTTTCTTTGCCATCAAGTCACAGCTGACTTATGGTGATCCTACAGGGTTTTCAAGGCAAAAGATGTCCAAAGGTGGTTTGCTGTCACCTGCCTCCACATCACAACCCTGGCATTCCTTCGTGGTCTCCCATCTACATACTAGCCAGGGTAAACCCTGCTTCGTTTCTGAGATCTGATGAGATTCGGCTAGCCTGGGCTATCCAGGTCAGGGTGGAACATGCACAGTTAGGGTTGCCATTCCCCAGGTCTGGGTGGGGAATCCCCTGGTTTTGGGGGCTTCTGCCCATTGCCAGCCACCCACAAATAGCAATGTCCCTGTGCTACGTCCCCAATGCATAGCGACATTCTGGTTTTCGGGCAAAACTTGATGGTTTGACCTTGATTTTACCATAGATTTTTGTCCAAAAACCAGTGTCACCCCCAACCTCACTAACATGATGACGGGTGATGTCAGCACATCAGGGACACTAGCAAGATGAAGGGACCTGGCAACCCTTATGCACAGTAAGCCTAAATCAGCTAAGAAAAACCCAATTGTAAAGAGCCTTACCACAGCAGCACAACACACACACCCCAGAAATACAGAAACAGCAACATAAATGTAACCAACCAATCAACTGATTTCCCCCCACCCCAATAAATGATTTGGGGATCAGAGGGCTGCACATACAGTCTACAGCCAAACTGATAGAAATGTGGCAAAAAACCCCTGTATTTCAGGCTTCTTTGAACTTGCCATCTCCAGCTGCGATATAATTAATTCTTATTTTATAAAATCATTCACTCTTCATTTAATCTCATTTTATGTATGAAGTAAATACATTTTAATTTATCTTGGCTGTGTCGTCTTCACTAGTCTGTTCAAGGACAAGCACACAAACAAATCTCTCAAGGTAGTCAATGCATTTTTTAGATTCACACTGACCTCATCGGGACAACGACACGCCCTTAATCCAAAGAGCTTCCCAAAGTTAATCACTGTTAGGGTTTTGCAATTGGCCATCTACCGGATTTCATTTAATATGGTGTGATCTCATCGTGTGTGCTGAGTGCTGTCAAGTCGTTTCTGATTTATGGTGACCCTATGAAATGAATGACCTCCAAAATGTCCTCTCATTAACAACCTTGCTCAGGTCTTGCAAACTGAGGGGCGGGGCTTCCTTGGTTGAATTGAGTCAATCCACCTCATGATGGATCTTCCTCTTTTCCTGCTGCCTTCCGCTTTTCCTAGCATTGTTGTCTTTTCCAGTGACTCTTGCCTTCTCATAATTGTGATCAAGACACAATAGCCTCAGTTTAGTCATTTTAGCTTCCACGGAAAGTTCAGGCTTGATTCAATCTAGAACCCATCTATTTGTGGAATAAAGGCCCCGGTCACACGGAAGGTTTTGGCCCGGGAGAGGGACGGATCGGGGGCGCAGCAAACGGGCGTGATCTCACCGCAACATCTGGGAATCGGTGCGCACCCATTCCCGATCCGTCCCTTCAGTCCTAAAGAGCGCACCAAAAAAGAACCTGCAAAAGAGCAGGACTTACCTGAAGCACCGCAGCAAGTGTGGCCGTGGGATCGCCGGCGCAGCGCACATATGCACAGTTCGGCTGCCTCGCTCTCCCTCCAGTGGCTTCCCCCCCCCCATCTGATCATGCCGGGGAGGAACTGCGCTGCGGCTCAGGGGATCTATGTGATCCCGCCGCCTCGTGTTTCTTTTGGTGCGGCTTTTAAAAGCTGCACTTTGGCCGTACTTCCCCCCCCCCGTGTGGCAGGGGCCCATATTAGTCAGTTGCTCTCCCCCAGGTCTCTCCCTCTCCCCCACCTTTCTGCTTATCTAGTAGAGATTGCAAGAAAATCTGACTTCTTATAGAAGCAAATTATTTTATGCTGTATCATAACAATGCCTCTGTATATTCTAAATAAGCAGATGGAATATATTATTTCATACATAAGTCATAAAAGAAAGCAAACATGGGCATGATGTGCATAGTGTTCATAGTAGTGAATGGTATGTATTTCCATGCTTTCCCGCTATAGAAATAATTTGTACTTTTAACTGATCATTTTCCAACATTAAATCCAAAATTTAAGAACTCATTTTTTTAATCTACGTGTAGCAAAGAGGTATAACGTATGATGTAGCCACATTCTTATGATATCTTCAATGTAAGAAGCAACAATAAAAAAAATGATCAGCAGAAATCTTGCTGAGCAATTTTTAAAATGTTTCTCAGCTGTTTGAGTCTGTTGTAGTCAAAACAAGTCTTGTGGTCAAACACATTTTCACTCATCCATGAGGTTTCATGAACAAGAGCTCCCCCACCCCTTTTTTATACGCATTTGGAAATGCATATAATTCAGGGCCAAAACCAAAGTATCAGGTAGATATCTACTGCTTTACATGGACCAGTTAAAATTGTTTGAAAGGAAACACAAAAAAAGCTAGTCACTAATGCATTTGTTTAATTTAATTTAATTTAATGGTCTTCCTTTAGAAATACAGACAAACATAATATGAGCAAAAGTTAGTGAACATCAAGTAAATTCAAAGGAAATTTAGTTGTGAACTATTTTACAACTAGCAAGCAGTCGCTTGTGCTCATTCTTAAGCATTTTTTGTTTTACATTATTTGTTTGTGTTGAATATTTACAATTTTATTTTACATATATGTAGTCTGAACTTTAATGTGCCAATAGTATTGTCAGCTCCAAATATTAACAAATAATGAATGAATCTGCAGGAAAAAAATTAAATTAAACACTGGTCAGTTTTCTACAGAGCCATTTGAATATTTAGCACTCATTACAAGCAATATTCCCAGAAATCCCCCCCCCTCACTGAGTGGAGCAGTTCATATCCCGAGTAGAATATAACTGCTGTGATCTTAAAATCGGCAATGAGCAGTGTACGACCCTGTGTGGCTCCAGACCAATGTTCCCTCTAAGCTCTGGAGTCTTGTGAGCAAAAACTCTACTTTGTGAGCTACTGACATTAAAATTGTGAGCAAGCAACTTGGCTACTGCATAAATTAGTTTGCTCTGGAGCCCTCCTCCCTGAGCTAAGACAAAAATGTGTGAGCCGGAGGCTAAAAAACTGTGAGCTAGCTCACACTAACTCAGCTTAGAGGTAACACTGCTACAGACTGCTGCAGAGAGAGGCTTCCTGTGTTAATAAGCGGCCGCTCATGAGCACAGCTTAGAGTGAACACTGCTTACAAGTTCTATTTCTTCGGCCATAGGTGCTAGTCAAGTGTCTAACATCATTACCCTTAGAATCTCAGGAGTAGCAGTAAAATTATCTCTACAGTCTTGATGGTGTGACTGATGACCTTCAGTGCAGAAGGAAGTATACATGCTTAACTGCAAATATAATTTACCATTTCTGGTTGTAAAAGCAGAGCTCTTAGTTAATTGATGATTGATACAAAAACTTTGCTTTGAAACAAGATTGAAGATGGTCATTTTTAGTTCCTGTGCTAGTTGTTTTTGAGGAACCAGATGTTGATAAATGCGTCTAGCAAGCCAAAAGCAACTGTTGCAAAAGGAAGGGTGGAATCTTTGTTAATTCTCAATTTCGGGGGGGGGGTCATCATTTACAGTTTAGGATGGAAAGTACAGCTATGTGGAAGAGAGTTTTCTGTGCAAATTGGTTACATTTGCAAAACTGCAGTTGGTCACTGATTCTTTTTTAATGGTGCAATCCTTGTGCAAAAGAACAGATTTATGATGTAGCTGGAATTCCTTGCGGGTGATTAATGTAAAAGAGATCACTTGCTACAGGAAACTTTACAACCCCTTCACCTTCATTTCACATGTTTATGGGACTGGCTTCACTTATGATCTATGGTCTGCCGTTGTAAAGCTCTTTGTTGTACAGTTATTTCTGATGTAAAGTTGCTTCATCTGGGCTCCAAATTCCACTGAAAAGTGTCATAAATGACTTGTTTATACTTTGGGCCTTTCTGCTAAGCACCAGCTTAACGGACGTCCCCTCTCCCCCAACTACACAACGAGGAAAGCCCAGTTCCCCAGAGCAGCTTGGAATGTTAATTTTTTTCATAACTCTTGTAGAATTAGTGGAAGGTGATTAAAATTGCAGTCCTATGCATGCTTATTTTGGAGTAAATTCCACCGAAGCAAATGGGACTTAATTCTGAGTAAATGCTCAGCAAATTGCACTACACAACATTCCCAAACCAAGTGTGCAATCCTATGCAGAATTACTAGAGTCTAGACTCTAAGCCCATTGAAATCTATGAACATAACTGGAGTAACTGCAGGTTTTGGGAAAAGTGTTCATAACACTTTAAAACCATTTCAGTTCTACAGTAAAGATCCTTTTAAAAGAAAGCAGTTAGTATCCTTAGTCTTTTTTTTTTACTTGGAGAGAACAGGAGTTAAAGTACCAACCGGCCAGTAAAATAGTAAAAAGCCCAGTAGCACCTTTAAGACTAGCAAACTTTATTGCAGCATAAGCTCTCTTCGTAGTTTGAGTTGCTACTTCTGCACTTATTAGGTTGATGAGAAACATGAGTGAGGAAAGGCGAGTGAGACTGAAGGCAGAACCACTTCCCTAACCCCTGCCACCCTCTTGGGGATCAGCTTCTAAGAGCAAATGGCATTCATTATTTATGCTGAATGGAAGAGATGCGTCTGACGATGAGAGCTGTGTTTCTCAAAAGCTTACGCTACAATAAAGTTTGTTAGTCTTAAAGGTCCTACTGAGCTTTTTACTATTTTGCAACAAGAGACTAACACGGCTAACTCCTCTGGATCAATCGGCCAGTAGACAAATTCTTGCAGCATTTATTAAGATGCTTTGGTTTTTGTATTGATTTGGTTGTGTGGTCTTTTCCCTTCCTTGCTCCTAGCCTTCTTCAAGACGACTGGGCTTGTCTTGTGCCAACTGTCACACTACGACCACCACCCTCTGGCGCAGGAACGCAGAAGGAGAGCCTGTTTGCAATGCCTGTGGCCTCTACATGAAGCTTCACGGGGTACGTGGCTGCTTCAGTATTATCCGTAGCTATTTCAGTCTTTGCTTGGTGCATGTTTCACGGGCACTCCATCCAACAGCCATTCCTCAGATGGCATGTGCATTCATTAAGTTACACAGGCAATTCATATCACACACTCTGCTGGAGAGTCTAGGGGGGAAAGGAGGGGCATTCTTTTGATGCACATAAGCATGCATGCAGTTGTGCCCAGCAGTTAACTGATCTGGGAGAATGTCACTGGAGAAATCTATGGCATCACACATTGTCAAGGTCCAAAAGAGTCACTCATATATGTATTTAGCACTCCAAGAAAACAAAATGAAGCATGAAGCCCCGTGGTTTGAATTGCTACTACTGCACTTATTAGGTTGGTGAGAAGTGTGAGTAAAGAAAGGTGAGTGAGACTGAAGGCAGAACCACTTCCCTAACCCCTGCCACCTTCTTGGGTGATCAGCTTCTCAGAGTGAATGGCACTCATTACTTATGCTGAATGGAAGAGACCTCTGAGTCAGCCTGCCAGCAAGGCTAAATCATGACCCTATCTGAAGAACTGTGCATGCACACGAAAGCTTATATTCAGAATAAAACTTCATTGGTCTCAAAGGTGCCACTGGACTCAAACTTTGCTCTATGTGGGTTGTGTGCACCAAGTGCACTGATTCAACATGTCTGATATTATAGCTCCTTAACCTAGATCCCAGAGAGGGTAGCTATGCCAGTCTGTTGCAGTAAAAGCAAACAGGAGTCTTTCCAAGACTTTTTACTGTTGCAGTAAAAGCAAACAGGAGTCTTGAAGCACTTTCCAAGACTTTTAAAAAAAGGTTATTTTAGTATAATCTTTTTTGGACTAGATCCCTTTTCTTCAGATGCTATAACAAAATGGATTTGGTTCTTGACTGCTTGTACGGGACTAAAGTTCTGTTAGTCTTTATGGTGCTACAAGAATCTAGTTATGTCCCAATAATTACAGTAGTAAGCCCTGATCATAAATATACTCCCTCCACTCCAGAGCCTCACATAAGCTTCTATGCATGCACAAAGCTTCTGCATGTGTGGGTTGTACATGGTGTACATGGTAAGACTAACCGGGTAGGCAGCTGTGTTGTTCTGAAGCAGTAGATCTGAAGCCGTAGAACAGGTACTGAAGCAGTACTGAAGCAGTAGTCCAGTGGGCACATTTAAGACCAACAAGGTTTTGTTCAAGGTATGAGCTTTCGTGTGCACGCACACTTCCTCAGATACATTGAAATGGAAGTTAACAGTCCATACATATAGGTAGAGGGTGAACAGCAAATTAGCATAAAACACAATGAAGATGTTTTAACAGATGCAAAGGCCAAACAGGAATAACAAAGTTTATAGGGTCACCATTTGTTTGGATTTAATTAAGGGGGGGCACAGTGGAGCAAATAAATATGTCAAAATAGGAGACTAATGTGTAAGTGTATCCCTCTTAATTGTTGAACGCTAATAGTACATAACTGAAATCCTGTTGTTACACTTCATTCATTTCCTCTTAAGCATGGAGGTAACTAGCAGCATACTTTTCCTTGAGGTGGGGTGAATGGTTGTGCAGTGTTATGTCTCCTATGTCACCAGATCAGAGAAATACATTCCAATATTCATTGCATTACAGTACAACCACTATTCCAATCTACTATTCCACTGAAGATATACACTAAAATAAATAGGATGTGCAGCCCTTCTTGGTGAGAATACATATAAGGACTGAATGAGTTTAGCATATGTAGGAAGATAAGAAACCAATATCCCTGTTAAATCCGTGTGTGTGTGTGTTCCGAGTGTTGTAATAACTTGTAATTCAGCCATTTTCCTTTCCAGTCTGTTCCTGAAGCTCCTTTGCAATAAAACAGCTACTTTGAGGTCACCCATTGAATGTCCTGGAAGGCTGAAGGGTTCTCCTACAGATTTCTCAGAGAGCCAGTTTGGTGTAGTGGTTAAGTGTGCGGACTCTAATCTGGGAGAACCAGGTTTGATTCCCCACTCCTCCACTTGCACCTGGCTGGATGACCTTGGGCAAGCCATAGCTCTAATAAGAATTGTTCTTGAAAAAGAGCAGTTTCTGTCAGAACTCTCTCAGCCCCACCTACCTCACAGGGTGTCTGTTGTGGGGAGGGGAAGGGGAAGGAGTTTGTAAGCCGCTCTGAGACACCTTTGGGTGGTGAAGGGCGGGGTATAAATCCATACTACTACTACTACTACTACTACTACTACTACTACTACTACTCTTCTGTCCTCTTTATTTTAGTATGTATTTTTAAGTGGAGATGGATGGAGTGTAACAACATGATCTCAGTTATTTACTCTTAGCATTCAATGATTAAGAAGGATACATTTACACTTTAGTCTCCTATTTTGGCATATTGCTCCACTGTGTTTTCTCCCCGTAATTAAATCCAAACAAAAGGTGACCATATAAACTTAGCTTATTATTCCTGTTTGGTCTTTGCATCTGTTAAAACATCTTAATTATGTTATATGCTAATATGCTGTTCACCATCTGCCTATATGTATGGACTGCTAACTTCCATTTCAATGTATCTGAGAAAGTGTGTGTGCACACAAAAGCTCATACCTTGAATAAAACTTTGTTGGTCTTAATGGTAGGACAAAGTGTAAATGTTTGTGGCATTGGTGTCTAAATTCATATGGCCTCTCCTTTGTATACTCAAACTCTGTTTATGGGGCTAGAGTAAGAAAAGTGTAATTTAGTATAAATAGTGATTGTATAGCAAATTAAACATAATACTTTCAAGTAGTTAGGTTCAGCACATTTTGCTTACAGCAAATGGCTGTGAAGAACAGTACTACTTAGAGGAACCTTTTTTTAAAAAAAGTGTGACATTCTTTTTTAGGTGCCTCGACCCCTTGCTATGAAAAAAGAGGGAATTCAAACCAGGAAACGGAAACCAAAGAACATAACTAAGACAAAGTCATGCTCTGGTAAATATGGTAAATATAATCATAAGTTTTGCTAAGAGACAGATTTGTTCGTATGGAGAACACACAGTTCTGACTTGGTTTGCTACCATTACAGGTAATAATAGCAATAATGCAGTTCCTATAACTCCAACTTCCACGTCTTCTACGAACTCAGATGACTGTAGCAAAAATGCTTCCCCTAGTACACAAACCACAGCCTCAGGGGTAAGTGATAAAATGGTATCTATACTTGTAAGCCAGTGAATTGCCATGGCATATGTTATCTCCAGTTTTATCTTATCAAGCAGAACAGTAATCTAAATAAACTTTTCAGTTTGTTAGCTGATACTAGAATGGGAATTTCTGAGGAAACTACCTATAAATGCAAACACAATTTAAAACTCAAGTACTTCACAAACATCTTTAGTAAGATGTATATATGTATGAATTATCTTTCATTTATATTGTATTGTTTTGTATTTTACTTTACTAAGCTGTAGACATTGGCCCAGATCCAGTGTGAGGTGATGACACGCTCATACAGGTTTCTGTGGATTGCAGGGTGCAAAATCCTCTTTCTCTAGCAGTCAGAGGGGTCAATAAACATATGCACACCTACAGCAGCTGGTGGCAGGCAGCTACCCCATGGAGACCCTTCTTGCTGTTTGCTATAGATAGTCTAGGAAATCTTTCATTCTCTGCTGATCACATATGCGGTGCAGAGATGAATGAGTTAAGAAGGCATTTTATTTTTTAAAATGTTTTCCTTTAACATTCACTCTAATGCTTGGTGATTGATTGCATCGTGAAGAGTCGGACTCAACTGTGCGACTGAACAACAACAACAAATTGCTAATGCATGCATGATTAGAGTGTGACCCTAAACAGAGTGGTACCATTCTAAGGGTTGTGTTGGGCTGTGCATAATGCGTATGTTGAATAGAGATTTTTGCTCTCATGGGAGTAAGATGGCTTTAGAAATGTCAGTATGACACATTAGTGGGTTTGCTTTCGATGCACAGACTTGGGAATGAAACTATAGTGGATAAAATGATGCCTGGGTAAGGTCTGGTCCCAAAAGATGCTTTGTGAGCAGAGTCCTAATGAGGCGTGGGAGCACCTGTGGAAGAGTCTGCAGCTGAGGCTGTCATTCTTAGGACACTCCAAATCCCCATCCTAAACAATTGCTGCTGTACAGGATAGGAACCCCTCCTTGGGATTCTGCTGGCTTCCAGCATCCCTTCAACTTCCTGGCTGTGACCTAAGCCTGGCGCTGAGTCCCTCCCCTCTCCGGTTTTCCCCGTCTTCCTCATCTTTACACATGAGAACTCCATCAGGAAACAGTACTTGGGAAGAGGTCAAGGAAACACAGACTCACCTGTTGGCAACAGGAGAATTGAGGCTGCTCTTTCTCCAGCAAGGTACAGGAAATTATGACAGGTGGTCAAATGCAGTAGCAGCAGCAGTGGTGAGGCTTTGAGAGCTTCAGGAAGGTGAGGCACAGCAGGTGACCTCCTGGCCTAAGGCTGGATCTAGCCAATGCTCAGCTCTGCTGCTGTTCCACAGATTCCTAGTCCCTGCCGGCCACAGAAGGGGCTCCACCTGAGGAAGGGAGGCAGCTACAGCTCCTCTTAGATGTTGTGGCACTGAGTATGCAGCAAGCAGCCTCCTGTGCATGGGGCTGCTGGTGTTCACTGGGGGAAAGAAGCAGGAAAAATACCAGCCAGGAATGTCACTGCTCAAGGACCAGCCCATCCCAGCTCATCTCCCCCCCACACTTTTGGAGTGGAGCAAAGTGGCCACCATGCCAGGTTTTGCCTACCCTTGGGGTAGATGCAGAGTGAAAGCCAGATGTTCTTGTTGACTCGCTAGTAAGAGTTCACCCACTAATTCAGTAAACCAAATGTATAAGTTAGTTTGGCTTGAGGCTTTCTGACATTCTAGTTTGTTTTAGTCAGGACTGGACAGACCCTGAGACTGATATTTTAGGACTCCCTAAGATATCAGTCTCAGGACCTGACCAATCCTGTCCAATCTGCCCAGTAATGTCATGTGAAATGAAGAGAGGCATTACCTTTAAAAAGTTTTTAATTTTTCATCACGTGGTTCAAAGGTAAATTTGCGGACCATCTAGAGACAAGGAGAGCTGTTTGCTAGTCAGCTGACAAATTATATCCAATAAGGGGCCATGATTGCTGGGATTCTAAATTGGAATTTCCAGTGCTGGTATGATCTAGAAGAAGACTGACAAACTTTATTGGTACAAAGTACTGTACTTTGTATTAGGAATGTAGCTGTCTTCACAACACAACTTAGCACACCCTATATGCACCTTTATTAATTGAACTGATTGTATGCAAAGGCCTAATGTATATCAAACATGTAACTAACTGGAGAGGATGCCTCAGCATGGGATCTTTAAAGTCAAATAAATTCCGTTAACTATTGCTTATAATCCCTGATTTTAGCCTCTCTGTCTCTTTTTGTTCTCTGACCCAACTCCCTTCATCTGCTTCATTGCTTAGATATGCAGTTACAGAGAATTTCCTTCCGAAAATATTACATATGGACATTTATTGCAGTGCTGTTGGACTGGCTTTGAATAGACTAGCCTCTGTAGCCCTGTTTATGCTTGATGCCTCCATTACTATTTTGTCTTTCAAAAGTATAGATTGATGAGAGTACATGTGGGGGGGGGCTTACAATGCCACTGGGCTAAGCGCAGAGTTTTGTACGTTGACCTAACCCAACACAGTGTGTTAAGCATACTGGTGCCCATAGAAAGAAAGTCTTGAGTATTCATACTCCATGGTGGATTGTGGCCATTTACTTTGCATGTCTGTTTCTTTGGCATACCAGTGGGGTTTATTTCTGAGTGTGTAGGTTCAGGTTTGAAGATGTAATGCTAAACACACAAGTTCTGTTGAAATATGACTTAGTGCCATTTGGCAGCATGAGTCTTTGTCTGGGGTTTGTTGGGGTAAACGTGTGAAGGAGAGAGATGTATATCTCTAGCCATGCACCAGGGAGCCACAGATAATTATAGCTTCCCAGCATGTGTCCATGTTTCCACAAGCATTTGGAAAGGAGTATATGTGTGCCTATGTGTGTGCTTTCTCATCACACTTCAGAATGGTAGCCACATTAGTCTTGCAGCACAAACAAGAACTGGTCCTGCGGCATCTTAAGACATCTTTTAGCCTTTATTTATTTCAGGTATTTCTATTCCACTTTTCTCCCCCAAAGGGGGGGGGGAAGCAGCTTACAGAAATTTCCAAAAGAAACCAAATCTAACAATATAATTTAAATAAACCGGACAACAAACCAAACAAACAAATCCCTTGTGGGTCCATATTCATTAGGCTGGCTGTCACAGGCCCCACACTGTGAGCCTCCATCCAAAGAGCCCCTGGGCTCCTGCTCAGGAACTCCTGCCTCTGGCTGCCCCAAGACAGGACAGAGACAAAAGCTCAGCTAGATGTAATGCAGCTGGCAGATACAGTCCCCAAAACACTCCCGCCCCCGAGGTGCTGCAAAACACTTTGTTGCTCATACTTCACACACAGCTGCCAAGGCAAACACCAATCAAAAGCTGACACATGTTGGGCCCTGCATAAAGTAGAAAGCGTGAAGCAGTAGGGTGCTATTCTTGAATCCTTAAGTCAAGTTGGTTATTTTTTAAATAACAGCAAACACCCCTTTTGACAAACAGCTCTAAAGAGATCTTTAATGAGCATACATAATAAATTACACATGATATTAAAAATACACGTAATAATGAGTATGAGATAATGAAATAGGTGGCGTTAGGCAAGACTGTGAGAAAGAAAGACAATGAAAACCAGAGTGATGAAAGGGTGGATATATGCACAAAATGAGCGAAAAAAAAGAAAAAAAATCTTTTGGATCATGCCTGTAGAAGAGGACCCAGATAATGCCCGGAACAAAAAGAAGAGTCAAGAATATCACTGTCAAGTTTAGTCCCTGTTGTCTGAGGTTTCAAGCAAAACAGGACACACGAGGAGGAAGCATGAAAAGTTGTGAAAGCGATAGAATAATAAATAACAAATGTATAGTGAAGAAATAGCTTTATTCATAACTTCATGAACCAGGCAGCTTAGACTCAATGAGACAAAAACAAAGTGACCCAGTATAAAGCTAGAGTAACGATGCTATGGCCTGAACTGCTTAAGGAAACACAAATGCTTGCCGAAACAGAACGATTTGTACCTGCCTCCTATTTTCCAAGCCACTGTGTAAAATGTGAAAACAATAGATATGTGTGTATATAAGTCTTTAAGTGTGCATGTACATGGGGCCTTAAAACCCAATGAGGCCAGGGTTCCAAGAGCAACTGTTATTTCCATGCTTTGCATGTCTTCTGTGGGAAATACTGACGTAACATTGGTGTTTCCCTCAGCAGCTGTATGGCTGTAATTTGTTAGCCCAAATTATGTGAGAATGAGTTTGTGGAATCATACCATGCCCTTGACTGGACTGTAGAAAGGAAATGGACATCGGACATGAGTGAGCAAATGACTACTTGCTTGCCCAGTTTTCATTATAGGGTTGCCATCTCTGGTTTGGGAAATTCCTGGAGATTTAGGGGAAGGTGGGGTTGGGGGGAGGGACCTTATCAGGGTATAATGGCATCGGGTTTACCCTCCAAAGCAGCCATTTTCTCCAGGGGAGCTTCCCATTGCTTCATGGTAATGCTGACCTTGTCTTAGCTTCTTCCCTATTAAATGGGATTCTAAGCCAGGACTGCACTCTTGTTGAGCATCTCAATTAGTAGGGAGGGCACTAATTCTGCACAAGTTGCATGCCTTGATTTGTATATTAGGGTACCTGTACTTTCCAGGGTTGTTCTGGAGATAGATGACAATAGGTACAACAACAAATACACTAAAAATGACGTAGAAATTATAATGTCAAAAAGGCCCAATGTTAGCTGGAAATGTTGCTAGCCTATTACCCACCCATTCCATATCTAGTGCACAAAGTTGCTGATAACATTCTTTGCAACAGAAAAGTGAGACAACTTAAAATATGTTAGGGGCTGAACATGACGAACAGTTCCTTTCAGTATGTGGAAATGTTAATAAATTGGACAAAGCAGATTCTTCTATTGGTACAGAAATGATTTATTATGCTTTTCTGGACAATATGCCAAAGCATTCCTAGCAGTGAGGAAACTGAAGGGAAAGGAGATTCAACAGAATTCA